TTATTAAATATCCATGAGACCATTAAGCTAAACAGATGAATGAGACTCTATTATTGCTGCACACACACACACACACACACACACACACACACACACACACACACGCACACTTCATGATCCACTGACTGGTGAATATGAGTATGAGACTCTGTATAATGACTAAAAATGACAACAAGAAGAAAATAAGGAGTGCAATAAGATGTAGCAAAAGACAAGTTAACATGACATAAAAGTCTTCTGTTGTTGATTTTATTTTATCCATTTGTTCCTTTCTCATATCAAGGATTCACCATATATGATGTGTTGCCTCATACAGAACTGAAAGTTGCACTTTTCTATTTATAATATAATCTCACGTTACATTTAGACAACTCCACTTTGAGGGAACATTAGGTTAACAATAACAATTTAAAGGTCCAGTGTGTGGGATTTAGGGGGATATATTGGCAGACATTGATTTTAATATAATAAGTATTCATTTAGTGTATAATCCCATGAAAATATGAGTCCTTGTGTTTATGTTACCTTAGAATGGGCTGTGTATATCTACGTAGGGAGCAGATCCTCACCTACTGAGATCACCGTGTTGCACCTCCATGTTTCTACAGTAGCCCAGCACAGACAAAAAAAATGCTGAGGAGAAACCAAAAAAAATCAGTGATCTCAAATAAACTGTTTTTGGACGGTAGGTCAGATAAAACATTCAATTTGACAGCATAGGACATACCACTTGAAGATGTCACTTTAGGCTCTGGGAAATAACAGGATGTTAAGTAATAAATCAAGAAAATAATGGGCAATAATTGACAATAAAAATAGTTTTTAGTTGCAATACTAGTCACAATGACTGCTGGCCAGATTTCCACTAATTCACTGTTCCTCGCATAATATATAATCATATATATATATTTTTTGACCTCCTGACCTTTTCTCCAGCAGTGGGTTTAATGACTTCATCATTTTGTCATTCATCACTGACTCTTGTTATTTCAAGTTCAGTCCATCCAACAAGTGTTTTGATATCAAGTACCACTCGCTCACTCTCATGTAACTCGGCTCACCGTTGTTGTTTTTTTATGTCGAACAAGCGTAATCACCCACACACGCATACACACGATCACTCAGTTATACACATACACACGTGCACCAATGCAGGGAGCACTCATCTAGCCAGAGAAAAAAGAGGAGAAGAAAGATTTCCTTTCTTCTGATAATTATCTGCCATCTCATCTTACACACACACACACACACACACACACACACACATCTTTGTAGCTCATTTTACCTGCCTTGCTATAAAATGTAGCCCTGTCTGTCTGGCACTCTGTGTGTGAGTGTGTGTTTGTGTGTCCTAGTCAGTATGTCCTGGTCAGAGGGATTCAGAGCAGACAGGGGGTGGTAACTGGAGAAGAGAAAGTACCCTTATCTGATGGTCACCACACACAAACACACACATGCACATACACACAGAATTTAAGTTGGAGGGTAATAATCAAGACTAAGACCAGGATGGAAGTAAAGAAGAGAAAAAGTAGACAGCAAAGAAGGCAAAAAAATTAACAAATACACTATCAAATTATGCAGCGTATCCTCATATTGGTTCGTATGATATCTCTTTTATCTGCACAAATGGCATTTTCCCATGACCCAAGTAAAGTTATGTAAGTTAGGTTTAGGAAAAGAAACAGTTGGGAGTTCTCATGTAAGGTACTTAAGTTACATATTTTATTTTTAGGAAAAGAAACAAAGTTCTGTACTTATCGTAAAGTTACGTAGGTTAGGTCCAGGTAAAGAAACATGGTTGGGCATTGTCACGTTATGTACTTAACGTAAAGGTATGTTCTTAACTTGACAAGGTGACGACATACGTTAAAATAATCAAAGTTCACTTATTGTTACATGTGACAAAATCACTGGTCTCCTGGGCCAAGTCTTGTCAGTATACAGAAACAGACAGGAGGTCTGCGTCACCGCGATGCTGAGCATGAGGGTGGGTGAGTTAAACTTTGTTTAAACCCCCCCAGTTTCATGGGGAACTTAGCCTGTCCCTCCTGCCACAGGAAATAATGGATTAATCCTGGAAAGCTTTTGATGTAGCACTTTTCTCCTTATGAAAGTAACACAGCAATTATTCAACCAATGAGAATTTGGTCAGACCAGAGCATATCGACCAACTAATTGACCAGTCAACCAGGAGACTACAGCCCTAACATGCACTTTCACAATTTAGTTCAGTTTTTTTATTACACATTCTGGCGTATCACTTTCATTAGTATACTTGTGAACAGTGCATGAGAACAACCTGAATTACAACATATCAGAATGTGGGATCTTTCTGTTGTGTGTGTTATCAACCCTCGAATGAACTAAAACAGCAAACAATCCTCTTACTGGGAAAGGAGGAAGATCACTGTGCTAAATGTATTTCTAAATGTATTATACCATAAAACGTACAACCAGTTCTTTTTCTTTTCTGTATGTTGGAAGTGACAAACTAAAGGGGAAGGTTTTAAACTGTGAAGTACACAGCGAGAGAAAAGACGGAGGCAGAGATAAAGGGATGGTGGAGTGGGCATCAGCACATATGGAGAGTCAGATATAAATGTTAGGAGGTTAAACAGGGAGAGAGGCAGACAGAAACAGAGAAGGAGGGGGTCAGCAGATCAACATTTACTCTGTCTGTAGCTCTCAGTAGATCTCACATAAATCAGCAATTCTTTGGACAGAGTTGAAACACAGGGTCACATGTAAAATATCCCCTCTCTCTTTGTCTCTCTCCATCCATCTATCCACCTGCCTCACTCCACTGTAGCATCCTCAGAATGCCACACAGGTTTTCATCTTAAGTGGTTGTAAAAGCTGTCAGAAGAATAAACCACTGGAAGGTTCAGCCGACAGATCTACAACGTCCAAACAATATGGCACAGAAGTAAAGGGTTTCAGGTGATGTGTCAGAGATCAAAAGTCAATCACCTCCTGCTTTTCAGTGCCTCTGAACACCATGTACCCTCTGACAATGCAGTTCTCACCAACAATGATCAATGCCTCCATGCTTACAACACAGGAACACAGAGTTCTCCAAGATTTTAATCTTTCAATCAATATACACCGCTGTCGCAAGAAGAAAAAAAATGGCATTGTACATTTTGGCAAACCATGATTTATATGTATCATATCAATGTTTCTTAAGTCATGTACTATATAAACTGGCATCTGGTGCTTCTCAAAGTAAAGGAAGTATCCTTAAACAGCTGAATCTGTAGGAGGCTATGTCATCAAATTCTGTTGCATTGTCAAGGATCCTTTGAATTCTACAGAATACAGAGTTCTTCCTTCAGAGAATGTGTGTAACCTCAGTGGGTATGAAGTACAAAATTCTTTACACACAATTTGCTGGAATTAGAGGTCGGGCCTCTTCAATGATGCACACCTAGGCACTCGCTAGCCTGTTTCAACGTGTGTTCACTGAATGCTAGGATGGAGTCTTGCCTAGCCTAAGCAGGACCCAACTTGGAAGGGCATTTCCTACTAAGGAAGCATCCTTGATTTGTACAGCACCATTTGTCATCAGAAGGTGGAGGGGATGGTGCATGGCATGTCACTTAGGTGAAATGCCTGCCAAGCTGCAAACCACCGTTTAGGACCAACAAAACAAAACCTATTGTGTTTTAGTGAATCATTGCTGTGTTTCCAGGAGCTTTTTAGCCAACAAACAGCGACCCATCCCTGTTTTCTCAGCAGTGACAGAGTCACCAAAAGCAGTCATTTTTCACCAAGACATCATTGTTTTTTCAGCAGGGACTGTGGCCCCCAGACTGAGTATTTTAAGTTTAAACGTCCTCTTTTCCTAACCTACCTCATGGTGCTATCAGTAGTCGCAATACATTGTCTGTGAATTTGTCCCTGAGTGTAGATATGTGTTTGTAATGGCACAACACAAAGTAAGAGGTTACGGGTAAGGTGTCAGGGGTCAGGCGTCTGGGCTCAAACTGGGCTCAAAGTGTAGAAAGTGAACGCCAGAACAGTTCTGCTGGCTCTGACAGCCCTGCATAGACTCAGCCAGCTACAGCTATCTTGTAATAGTTATCAGCAAAGATCCCCCAACAGCAGATTCCTGTAATGTATTGAATAGAGTACCGTAAACTCAATCTGGCTGATATTTATCTGGTAAAAAGCAACTCTTGCTACCATGAAAAACCACAAAGAAAAAACAATTATGTCAAGGACTTGGTCAACAATAATTTAGCAACCCAGAGTTTCCAACCCATTAATTTATTTATGGTGGCCCGCCACGATTAAAATATCTGCTGTGACATTTTGATTTTCTATTTTTGGAGCTGGACCATTTATCAGGTGCCCTGCTGAAATAAATATATAGTTTGTTCCACACTCTCGCAGCTCAGAGCTGCAGAACTGCAGGCGCAGTGAATCTTAACTGTTCATTGTGCTTGCTAGGTCTAAAAGTTCCACCTGAGTTGTGTTCATGGACCCACAAGAATCACAGAATGTAGAGACTTAGAGAGGGGACACTGACTGACACCAGGCAAGAAACAACAACAACAAAATTGCAGGTTACACCCATCCCATCCCCAACAACACACCCTCCTGACGCCCCGCTGGCATTAGCTACCGCCACACTTTGATTCTAATTCTGTGGGAAACATTGCAACCACCAGCAGGGCAAAATTAGATTTCAAAGTTTCAGAAAATCTTTCAGAAGCAAAGGGTCAAAGGTCACTCACCACCAGGTTTCCGATAACCATGACCAGCATGAAGACCAGGATGCACAGCGGCTGACCCGCGACCTCCATGCAGTCCCACATGGTCTCTATCCACTCGCCGCACAGCACCCTGAAGACAATGAGGAACGAGTGGAAGAAGTCCTTCATGTGCCAGCGAGGAAGAGCGCAGTCCTTTGAGATCTTACACACACAGTCCTGGAGGGAGGAAGGAGGACACAGCCTAATGTGTTGAACCCACATGCACAAATCTAAACCTGTATCTTGGTCAGAGGTCAGAGGTGTTACCTGGTAGTTTTTACCAAACAGCTGCATCCCAACCACAGCGAAGATGAAGACAATGATGGCGAGGACAAGCGTCAGGTTGCCCAGAGCGCCCATGGAGTTACCAATGATCTTGATCAGGGTGTTAAGGGTTGGCCACGAACGAGCAAGCTTGAACACACGAAGCTGGAAGCAAAGAGAGACACACAGGAAGAAATGGGATTTCAGAATAAAGGTAATCAAGTCCTCATAATCACTTCTGTGATGTTCTAGAACCAAACAGCCTGAACTGATCTTGTTCATGTTTATTATAGCAAAAAAACCTTTCACAACTGTTGTTCTGTTGTGTGTAAATGTATATTTAATGCCACTATGTATTATTTTTAAGAGATTTTAAATGGTACAATTTGACCAATGTATTCTTTATTATTTGAATTAAAGTACTCTGAAGAAATATTTCACTACTGGAAAGATGGTCTTTTCATCAAACTGAGCAGTCTATGCAAAAGAGTCTCCAAAACAGTCTACGAAAGAATAAATACTTTTGAAATTGGTGCTATATGACCAGTGAAAACAGAGAGGAAGGACTGTGGCATTCACTTCTGCCAAGGTAGAAAACCTACAGCTACCAAACTGCACTGCACTGGACCAATAAATGCACCTGCTGGTGGGTGACGTAATGCGCTGGATGATACAAAACATGTCATCAGGGCTTTCGTTGGAGGGGGGAGATCTAGGCACTGGTAAGATAGAGGGAAGTTCACGTTCTAGTGTAGATATGGACATTGCATCGGCCACCATAGTTAGCAGCCTCCCTGTGACAGTCAGCATCAGAAAAACTCTAATTTGTAAAGTGAAACTGCTTTATTCAGTGTTTTACTGGTTGAAATCACCTGGTCTGTTTGTTTTGGAGAGGAGGAGACCTCTGTGGATAATTCAGCTCTCAATAAAAACCTCCTGAACAATGAACCCTGAAGGAATTCTAATCAGGAGAAGTTTAAGTTGGCTGCAATCTGCAATCCTGACTACTAGATACCACTAAATCTTACAGACTTGAGTTTGCCAATAGCATCATTTCCATTCAGGTGTCTCACTTCTATTGGAAGGAAGGTTTCCAAACCAACAAAGGAGAGCTAAAGAGACAATGAGGGCAGGAAAAGGGAAGGAAGGATGACATTGGAGAGACAAGAGAATGAAAATTAGGACATAAAATAAAACAAGAAAGTACAATGAAGACACACAGAAAGAACACAAAAACAAGAGAAAGAAAAGAAAGAAGTGAATGTATATGTTTATTAGTGAATCTGTGTGTTTGCCACAGGCAGAACCTGCCAACACCCAGAGTGACACTTGGAGAGATCGACGTAGACAGACGCAGACAGGCTTCAAGGATCTGTGTGTGTTCTCTTTGTGCGTGTGTATGTGTGCTTTCTATGTGTGTGTTTTGGGTGGATGTTGACAACCACCGTCCTTGCCTTGTGCAGCAAAGTTGGCCGCAGCTGAACCTGACATGTATTTTAGTGACATCGCTCATCAACAGCCAATCACCACGTCCCTTGCACACTGAGAAACATCCTGAGGATTGATGCCTTTTCATTGGTGCTTCAGCTGATGGTCAACCAGCTCGCACCGGCCAGCATGTGCACTACGTTTCCTCTTTTAGATAATCTTTTCTTCTGTCTCACTTTCAAGGGAATTTGTGGACTGTTTTTATGGTATTTGTTGTCTCTGTATCTTTACAAGCTGTTTTGTTTATTATTGTCTATAAGCAGAGGTGGAGGAAAATATTTTTCTTTGTCATTTGGTTTAGTTTCTTTTTATTTTATATATGATTACAATAATATTACAAGTATATTTAGTATTATTCATTACCTTTACTAATATTTTAATGATTATGTTTTTTCCTTATTTTTTTCCTATTATTATTTGCTCAGTCCTTTTGTCTTGTCTCTTCTTTATCAAATACAGATTCAAATACATTCGTTTACCATACCTGTTTCCATCTACCCTCATGAATGTTTTTTTTTTTTTTTTTTTTTTTTTTTAAGATATTTTTGGGGGCATTTTGGCCTTTAATTGAGAGGACAGACAAGCATGAAGGGGGGGGAGAGAGAAGGAGTGACAAGCAGCAAAGGGCCACAGGCTGGAGTCAAACCCGGGCCCCTGCGGCAACAGCCTTGTACACGGGGCCCCTGCTCTACCACTAAGCCACCGACGCCCCAACCCTCATGAATGTTTTGTATGCCACTACCTCAAATTTGTGTACTACCCTCCCCAGCAACAAAAAGAAGAAAAAAAGAAAAACAGTATACAAAAACTATGTTACGAGTAAAAGTCCTACATTTAAGTTTTTCCTGAAGTGGGAAGTACAAAAGTATTAGCATGAAAATATAACTAATGTACCAAAAAATATGCAGAATGTCCCATTTCAGAATATTATATATTTTATTACTAGATTATAATTATTGATGCATTAGTGTGTTCGTCGCTTTAATGTTGCAGCTGGTAAAGGTAGAGCTCATTTTAATAACTTTATATGCAGATTTATAGTTTGTATCTTTACATGGCTTCGTTGAATACTTGATTCTGCTTGGTCTATTATTTAATTCTACGGTCTTTTTTACTTTTACTGAAGAGCAGGCCTCAGCTATGAATTAGACGCACTTCTGATCATTGATGCTTATCAGAAGCAATGGAATCATTTTTAAATCAATGAATGCTAGCATAATTATTTTTTTAAAATAAACAAATCTTTCGTAAAAAAAAAAAAATTAAACTAATAAAATCCTTTTTAAATCTATAAAACAATTTTTGAAATGACAAAATACATTTTAAGCAATAAAAACATTTTAAAATCAATATTTCGTGTTAAATTATTGATGTCTTCCGTGAATAGCCATGGGTAAGGCATGATAATGAACAGCAAATGAAATGAAAGGGTGATTCTGGACCCCGACGCAAAGAAAAGAGATCTTGAATCATCTTGAAGGGGTTAATTTTGCAGTACGTTATCCCTTAGTTAAAAATCTGACTCCGTAAAATAACAAAAGTTGTAAGATAAATGTAGTTCAGTAAAAAGGACAATATTTCATTCTGAGATGTAGCGGAGGAGAACTTTAAGTAGCAGGAAATGGAAACATAATCAAGTAAAGTACAAGTACCTCAAAAATATCCTTAAGAACAGCATCTAAATAACTGTAATTTGTGAATTTTCACCACTGTCTATATAAGTCCTGAAAAACCAAAAGTATGAGATTATTCTACCTTTTCTTACCTGTTCAGTCAGGAATTTGTGCTGAAAAATGTTGGAAATATGAGACCTCAGTAACGGACTCAGTTTAGACGAGACCTGCTCACTAGATCTGGCAACTTTTTAAAGCAACTTAGTTAAATGGTGGCATAGAGAATATCTCTCCAACACATATTTCGATTGAAAAGTCATTTCTGCATGTGATGTCATCAGATATGCAAACTAGTTTATCATGTTATATAACTGCTTTCCATTACAAAAAGTTGGTAACAATGGAAAAAATCATTTCAAACTTGATTCAAGAAACTGATTTTGAAGGACTGATGAAGAAGTTTGTTGGCAACTTGAAATTTCAGGTGTAATCTGAGCATTACCAGTCTGAAGGAGCGCAGCACACTGAGCCCCTCCACATCAGACAGGCCGAGCTCCATGAGGCTGAGGCAGACGATGATGCTGTCGAAGATGTTCCAGCCCGTCTGAAAGTAGTAGTACGGATCAAGAGCAATGATCTTCAACAACATCTCTGCTGTGAAGATCCCTGAGAACACCTAAAACACAGAGACACACGGACATTTTAATATTAATGTGACAACCATACTGATGTTTTAATTTGGTGTATTTGAGGAGTTGATTTTATGAAAATATGCTGAAGCTGCTGCTAAAATATTACAATCACCTGCTTTGTTAATGATCATGTTCATACAGAAAATAAAGTTCAAATTAAATAAACGGCCTTATTTGGAAAATCCAAATGGAATAGGCTGTTTCCATGACCCCAGTCAAATTATCGTCTTATTTGGACTAACAGGAATATTAGCGTGTATGAAAATGTAGGTAACCTGTTGTTTTGCCGGCAAAATGAGTCAGGAAACCTGACCTCTGCTGTGAGCTTTAGATTTTAGAAAAACAAAGAAAACTCACTGTGCATGTAATTTAAATTATACTGAAGATATAAAATATAATTTACAGCACCAATTATATATTACTAATAGTCTGAGATAGACAAACACAAGGAGATCGTCTCTGTGCTAAGGTACTAGAAATAGCTGTGACACACACACACACACACACACACACACACACACACACACACACAAATGCACACAAACCTATAAAGTGGACACATACAGGTAGGGACAGTCAGGTAATGACACACAAACACACACACACACACACACACACACACACACATAAACACACACAGGCATACAAAAAGCTAAATGAAGGGCAGAGTTAGCCAAAGGGTAGGACATTTCAGACTGGGTTAGATTCTCTCTCTCTCTCTCTCTCTCTCTCTCTCTCTCTCAGACACACACACATACACACACACACATGCGTGTCACCTCCTATAAACCCCAGCTGAAGTACACAAGTTCTTTAAAAGCCAACAGGAGTTCAGAAACAAAGGAACACTCCAGCACACTGACCTGCTGCACTCACATTAACACACACTGTTAGTATGAATGCTAACCATTTTCAACACATTGTGTGCATGTACAGGTATGTATGTATGCTAAAGTATTAGCGTGGAGACATTGAGCTGAATCACAGACCCGCGCTGCTTTATTAAACAGTTTTTAATAAAGGGGAACTATTATGCTTTTCCTTATTTTGTGTCATACATCTACACCTATCAGCCAAAACATTAAAACCAGTGACAGGTGAAGTGAATAACTGATTTTTTTGTTCCAATGCATTGCTCTGCTGGAAAACCTTCTGGCATTCATGTGGATACCACCTGATTGGTGTATATGTATAATGTTACAATGCCGGATGTTAATATTAAACATGGCCAAAGTTTTGAGGTAAATGTATTTAAAAGTAATCCCTGTAAGCAAAAACCTCAGGCTACAGACAGTTCTGAATACGGTTTCTAGCCTTTTTTTTCCTACTATTACTACTTTTACTTTTTACTAGGCTTCTTCTACGCTTCTATGAGTGTCTACGCTAAATACTCATATAGCTACATGCTAACATATAGCTACATGCTAATGTCAAGGAAACATGTAATCTTGGTTGCTAATGTTCATTTCTCCCTGAGTTCAGATTTTACTCTGTATTCATGTGGTGTCTGAATGATAAAAAAAAACAAACAAAACAAAAAAACAACAAGTGCACGCCCTCAAGTCGGAACAACAACTCAGAAAATTGGTGAAAATTTTGGCACGAGTTACCAAGTTGACGTCACATATGCAGAAACATGCCAAATGTTCAGTTGATTTTACTAAACTAATAATTCTTTTGCTCACATGTAATTTGTAAAATGGTATTGTGTTGTAAGTGTTGTAAGACACCTTTTAATAAAATGATCCAAATTTTATTAACGTGTTGTTTATAAGCTTTGAGCAATAAAAAATATCACATTTTCCCTGTATGGTCCTTGTTGTTTCCACATTATGACTTAAAGTTCATGAACACGCCAAAGTCAGAGGAACAACTTCTCGACAATCTCTCTGCTGAAACATGTTCAGTTGTGTTTAGAAGCGTTTATTGGTGATTTTTAACAGTAGAAAATGCCACTATTCTCTGTTACAGTCATTCCTCAGCTGTAATGATGGTGCAGAGATGCTGAGATACTGAAGACTGGGAAACACTAACCAGTCAGAGCAGACTGGGCTTTTTCAGGAGGGGGCCTTAAAGAAAAAGACAATAAAACAGAGGGTGAATACAGGTGTTCCAGCACAGACAGTGTGAGGAAAATGAGGAAAGTGCTTATTGAAAAGAAACCCAATATACAAGTATGAACCTGAAAGACCCGACCAAGAACTCCAGTAAAGCTGCAGGTTATATTGAGTCAGGTCTGCAAGTGCTCCACTCTACTGCTGCAGGTCTCAGGTCTGTCTTTTCGTCTTTTTTCTAGATTTTGGCAAATCAAGATTTATGTAAATGCAATCTTTTTCTTTTCGACCCCTTGCTTTTGTAACGATTATGGTCAATCCCACATCGCCTGCTGTCAGTGCTTTGAGAAGCAATAGCTCCCATGCATCTCTGTGTTCGTGCATAACACCATGTTAAGTAGGTCTTCACCAGGCTTAATTTCTGAAATGTGGATTAAAAAAATAACCTTTACAAACAAGAGGAGACAAAATATTATAGACTGTTTTGCTCAAAGCAACTGTTTCATTTTCTCTGCTACACGCACCATATCTGGACCACAAACATGATGGGTAACAATGACGACAGCAGGACCTGGGAGAAAGAAACGAGGTGGGCATGACTAGATTGACTAAATTCTTCAATATAATCTGATGACTAAAAAGACTAAAGTGTCAACACTTTTCATTGACTAAAACTATATCAACTAGAATTACCGCCTCGCAGTTGTATACCTCCACAAACCAAGTCGCAGTTACAGTTTACATCCATGTCTGTGAAAACATGGATGCTTCACACACATCTTCCCAAGTGTCACCAATTCAGTATTGGACTAAATGTCTTCCCTTCTGTTCCTGAGACATGACGTTGATTAATGGCCAGTAAAGTGTTTTATGCAAAACATTGTGATGTCACAGTGAAGTTGACCTTTGACCTTTTGGACATTAAATGTCATCACTTCATATAACAGCTACGGTTTTCTTTGACTGAAATGATACTAACATACCCAGACTTTTAATCAATTCAAACTTGACTAAAAAAACAGGTTGAGGTTGCAGCTGCAGTTTTTTTTTTAAATTCAGTGACCTGAGGACAGTTGCAGACTTGCAGTTTACTGAACCAGCCGTGTTCTTGATTTGGTGATTTTTAGGAAACAACACTTTTCTCAGCTGTTTGCTCCTGTGGTTTGATCCTTTAAGCTTCTCTCTCTGCAGACCTCAGCTCGTCCGGGGTTTGCCTAGCTCTGCTTTACATCACGTGTGTGTCTGTGTTTGCTGCGTTTAAAGTGTGTGTTTGTTGAAAGTGCACGTGAGAGTGTATTAATGTGTGTGTCCTTGCAGCAGCAGCAGCAGCAGCAGCAGCAGTCCCTCTCCCTGCTTGTTGTTCCAGAAAGAAGGGGATCCTCGATGTGACACCGGCTACGTGACACACGTGTGTTTGTGTGTGTGTTTCTGTTTCTTGGTCTGTGCATGTGTGTGTGTTTGTTTGTGTGTGTGTGTGTGTGTGTGTGTGTGTGTGTGTGTGTGTTAAAATGGCAGTGTGTGTGCAAGTCTCCCACAAAAAGTGAGTTCTGAGGTTTAATGGTTCGACTACTTTTGTCCCTATGCACACAAAATCACACACACACAAAATCAGGCTCTTTCTGGGGTTACCTCTTCATCTCAAACACACGAACACACACACACACACACACACACACACAGATGATCCTCTTACATGGGCTCATTAACTCTGTAGTGTGTTGATTAGCTACTCAACAATCACGCTGTTATTATTACCACCATCAGGAGAGCCTCTCTCTCCATCACTTTCTCCTGTAAGTGAGTGATGTGTCGATGAAGGAGGCTCTCTCAGTACGCAGAGGTTGAGCAAAAACTCATAGTTGAAGATGAGAATGTGAAATGAAGTGAGTATAAGTGATTCAGAGTGTGCATTTTCAACATATGAGAGGGAGGAGGCGTCAGTTAGTTACGGCAGAGGTTGCTGGTTTGAATCCTGCCTGTGCTGCTGCTGCTGCAGTGTTTCAGTTTAATGTAGTGCAGTGTGGTGGTGTTGTGTTACTGATCAGTGAAGAGTGTGTGTGTAACTGTGTGTTGACGTCAGGCAGAGTGACGTTAATGAAGTTAAACACAGTTCAGCTGTCAAATATCAGCAGCAGCCTCTGGCCTCAAACATCACGCTGTGGGAAACATCACACACTCACAGCTCCTTATATTATAATACTTAGGTACTTATTATTTCATAAACCCGAAATCATACATCGAGTTTACTCTACTGTTTATTCTACATTCTATATTTCTTGTATGTTAACTAAATCATTCTGCACTGCTTTTTGCACTTAAACAGAAACTTGCACTAAATATATGAATATATGAAGAGGTGTTCCTATGTGGTGATAAATATTGATATTACATTTCAGTTGCTGGGACACATTACATGGAAGCTATTAAAACATGATCTATTAGAATAATTATGTAAAATAAATAAACCACACAACAGTAATGAAAATAAGAGTGCTACGAGAGAACAATCTGGCGTAATTTTTTGAATCATAATTTTCTTTAATTACTGAAAACACCTCAGTTTTGTGTTATTTAAACAGTAATACATGGCTGATCCCTCAGTCAGCCCCCAGTAGTTAAACAGAGAGCTGGGAAGCTTGGAGGTGAGCTTAGCGTCCTCTAACTGCCAGTATCGGGTAAAACTGACGCAGCTGGTCAGATATCCTTAAAACTTACTTTACCAAGATGCAGAGGCCTCGGCTGGTTTGACCAAAGTGTTTTATGGTGCTGCTGTTTCACTATGCTGCTCTGTCTTGTCTGTCCGTGTACTGTCAGTGCCCTGTACACGTGTTTTCATGGCGTGAGAAAATGGATGTGTGGTGTAAGGCTCCATGTCATTGGTCCAACATCCCATTAGTCCGACGTCCCGTTGCTCCAATATGTGATTATAC